CGAGAAAAACATATATCTTTTTGCTATAAACTTATAATTATGCAATATACATACATTTTAATTCGATTCAACTATATGCAAAGCAAATTATACAATTGCAGCGAAATAGGCCAGCGAATTATACAATTTAGGCCAGCGAATTATACACTTGTATATTTATAGCGAATTATACAGTTTTTATGTTTGCTATGGAGCGCATTTATGCAAAGTTTGCTATATTATACAAATATGAATTTTTTGTTTGCTATATGTGAAAGTTGCCCTTTTTTTATATATATATAGCGAAATATACATATTTATGTTTGATAAGCGCGATTATGCAAAATATAGTTATAACATATAAATATGATTTTTATGTTTGCTATATATGAAAGTTACTCAAAAAATATTGACCCGAATCAAACCCGATTTTATCTCAAATGCATTGTGACCTTTTCTATGTAATACGGGTCGGGTTTATTGGTAGGATATTGTAATTTTGGTTTAAATGGTTTTAAGGTTTTTTCTTTTTTAATTTACTTGGCTCCATGTATTGTGTCATAAATACGCTTTAGGCTTAGAGAATATTTGGTGTGAACAATAATTTTTCTGTTACAAAATAAAGCAAAGTAATTATATATGTTACATCATTTTCAATGGTTGAACGACTTTTTAATTAGTACATAACTTTAAAATTAAATTGATCTATCATGTAAATCTCATTAGTTAAGTAACTTACTCGAAATATAATATTAAATATTATTTATAGTTTTTATTTTTTTAATTTTCTAATTCGAAATTCTGATTCCGTCACTATTTGGACCGAGGGGCATATATAATAGGGAAAAGGAAATTTGGTATATCTCTTTTAGAATTTGACTAGACACTAGATAATATTTGTGACATTTCTTCAATGAATTATCAAGTGTGTGTTTGTTTACGTGTAATAATTAACAAGATAGTAATATTTTTTAGTGTTTGGAGCGTAAAGGGTATAAAATATTAACAAAAATTTTAAAACGGTATATAAAATTTTTAAAAAAATCACATTTTGTAAAATCGTTGCAGTAGCAGCGATTTTGCTTTTTTCAGTGGAGGAAATCGCTGTTGTTCCAGCAATTTTGCCGTTTTGGTTGATATAAAATTTTATATATCATTTTGAAATTTTTATTAATATTTTATACCAGACTCCGAACTCATATTTTTTACGTAGGAAAATTCCATACCTCACTTTCCTAATTTGTTGGGTGGGTTTTACTAGACAATGAAAACCTAATTTGGAGTTTTCGTAATCAATCATTTTCCTTTTCCACTATAAAAGTGATCTTGATGGATGTATAAAGAGTTTATATTGACCAACAATACATAATGTTGTAAAGTTATATCAAGTTGCACTTATTACAACCACAAAAAATTAAGTTGTAGTTTAGTGATAAGTTTCGTTTTATTTTTAATTAGAAATTTTAAAATTGAGCTTTGGTAATAAGGTCAAACTTTCTGAACAAATTTGAATTATTCGAATCTTTAACTGAGTATAGAGGTAATAGAGTAAAGAAAGATCTAGCACCCATCGCGATTAAGGGTGGAAGTTAATTAGTAGGGACAAAGCTAGGTGTAGCATAAGGGGGTTAATCTGAATCCTCTTCATCGAAAATTATATCCCTAAATACACTGTCAACATTACTTTTTATGTAAATATAATTGAGATTTCTTCGTATGTTTACTTCTTTATATTTTGAATTTCTTTAAACAAAAATTCTGAATCTGTCACTGATTTTTATAGTCTTTCCTATAGCCATGTTAGTACGACGTCATGATCCCCTGAGGTCCCCTCCACCTTAGCGCATTGCGCATGCTATCACTAGCTTTCAACTTTTGTTAGATTTATATAAATTGGGACCAACAATAATGTTAATACTATGGTACAAATTAATGAACAATTTTTTCAACAATGATGGTGGTATAGGTTGAATATGATCCTTTCACGCTTAACTAAAACTTACATGATCAAGTCATGTTAAGAAGGGTAAAATATACGCAGACCTTATTACATTCAGAATCCAAAATTTTCATTAAAATGTGAGGTTGTTACATAATCTTTGACGGAAGAAAAGCAAAGGATTCCTCTTAATACTTGAAACACCATGGTCGATGGTGTAGTAGTGGGAGCTTACTAAGGACACGAACGTATTGATGCTTGAGTCAGGATAGTCTAAGGCCTTCCCAATTTGACCTAAGTTATCGATAGATGTTAATGTACCTCCAACCCCGAATGTTGTAGCTACAAATAGAATCAACTTGTCAATGTTGAAGAATGCTTGCAAGATTGTGTGATCTTCACCTCTTTTTGGTGGATTAAACGCGCTCTAAAAGCACAAACTCCAATTTGTTTTCGATGAAGGAGGATTTTTCACTTGAATTGACGCGTTCACTAGTCCTTTTTTTGCACTTCCAAATTAAAAGTGAACTTTTTTTTGTAGAATAAACTTCATAAAGGCTAAAATTTGCATTTGACATTGCTATTGCAAAGACTAATTTTTGTGTGACAAATTATATTTTGAGTATGGACTAACATGGTAAAAAGATACTAAGAGGGATTTTAATTTTCAATACTAAATATTATGTACAAAAAAATTAATTAAACTTATAGTCTTTGTAGCAATTTGGATGTTTGAGAATTTTATGCCGGCAGCTATATGATTGCTTGTTGACTTCCTTACAAACACAAAGTACATTGAATTCTATTTTTTTTAATTAAAGGTGTCAGGTTCGTGTTTTGAAATAAAATCGCTTTTGATAAAAAACACTTTATCTTTAAAGTGAGACTTTCTGACATGAGTCATAATTAACCAGGCTTCAAGGTGAACGAAAAATTGTATATAATGACAAATTATAATTTAAATTGAATATTATAATTATATTTTGATTTAATTGTGCCCCAGCAAATTGTTGCCAGTCACGTCTCTCCTTTAAAATTTCGCTCACCACTCTCAGTCTCGCCTCTCTCGCTTTATACAAACAGAAATGTACAAATTGTGTTTCTGTTTGTATAAATCGAGAGAAAATAATATATACACATGCAAATACATATATCTTCGTCCTATACACTTATAATTATACAATACAAATGTTCCATGTCAATTTTCTTGTGTTTTTCTCTCTTTCTCGCTTTATACAAACACAAAATATACAAAATATAATGTATAATTTATGTTTGTATAAAGCAAGAGAGCGAGAGAGAGAGATATTTGATATACAAACGTTTTATTTCGATTCAATTGTATACAAATTCAAATTTTATACAGATATACAAACACATAAAATTGAATCGAGGGGATGTCAACTATTTATACAAATGAGAGACTGACAACAATTTATGCAAATGACCTGCCAGCGAAATTATACAAATCTGATGAGGAGCCAACCATTAATTATACAATTGTTTCTTTTGTATATATGTATAGCAAATAGTCACTGCCTTTGTATATATGTATAGCGAAATAACATAGCAAAATTATAACAAATATGATTTTTGTGTTTATTAAATGTGAAAGTTGCTCAATTTAAAATAACGAACGGGACAGACTAATTTTAAAAAGAAAAATCTCATCAACGGCCATGATAAGATAATTGTGATTCAAACTCTGTGTGACAACATTGTCACATCTTGACTATAAACTAAATATATGACCCCTTTGTTTTGCTCTTATTGGAACTAATTGAAACAAAGTAGAAGAGTTGCAATTCCACCTACTTTTTGTAGTCAATTTTGTTTTCTTCCTTTAGACTCATTTATCAACCTTTAATGTAGTTGAGAGATTAAAAAAATTATCAAATATTGTTAGGACAAATATGTTCAATCATATAGTACAAAATTAAGGTTGATTTTTAAAGTATAATAATTTGATTCCATGTGTCTGACCAATACCCATAAGTTGTCAAAGAGTTGAAGTGAGTAGAAAATTAAAGAAGTATACACTATGTATTTTGTGATTGTCCACCAGATATTTAATATACGTACTAAGTTTGATTAAATTTAAATTGGGCAAAGGATATGAATCACGTATTTTTAGTGCAAAAAATTATTATTTGTCTCTTATAAGTATATAATTACAAAAATTTTCAAACTGTTACAATAATATAAGCGACGATACATTAATTTGATACGCGAGATACATTAATCGTTAAGTAAGATGTGCTACATTTTATATATGATACATTAATCTGATGCGCGAGATACATTAATCGTTAAGTAAGATGCATTACATTTTATATACGATACAATAATCTGATGCGCGAAATACATAAGTTTGATGTGCTGATACATTAATCTGATGCGTGAAAATGAGAGATTTTAGAAATTTGTAAAATTAATAGAGGATAATGATAATAAGAGAATTTAAATGAGAAATTTCTGTCATTTATCTATTTAAATTTATATCAAAACTCAAGAAGTTTCACATTAGAAGGTAAATACATTCTCTCACTCCATATTAAGGACTTATTTTATATACATATAATATAAGGCTAAAACTACAGAAGTACACATCATTTGTTCCACTTATTTTTATTATTTCTATATTTTTTAAAAAATTTAAAATCTCTTATTTCTTTAATATATTCGAGTTGCATATTCATGTATCTGAATCAGTATTTAATATATTCGAGCTACATATTAATGTATCCAAATTAGTATTTAATGTATCCGGCCTATATATTAATGTTTTCAAGCTTCAATTATTGTATACAATTTTTTTAATTTTTAAAGGATTAATGTAATTAGACATTTATTAGAATATATAAATTGTAATTTCATATTAAAACTATGAAATTTATGTAATTTACGCTAAATATAATCCATCCAAGTTAGAGGCTAAAAATTAATTAAATAGCCGGCTTTGATTTTAGCCTTGTCCATTTCCCCATCAATTTATTTATATATTTTACTATGGTCACAATTTCATACTAGTATTATAAATTCATGCATATTATTTGAAATTTAAAAAAGAAAAGTAAGAGAGTTAATTATATTAGCATTAATGGAGGATCCCAAGAAGTTAGAAGAAGGATTTAGCAATCAAAAGAATAATATTAGTGAAGAAAATATTGATACAAATAGAATTGATAATAATCAAGATTTGGTTAGCCATGAAAATGATCAAAAAATATTGAGCCAACCATTGCAAAAGAAGGAAGAAGAAGAACCAATTATTAAGAAGGGTAAAAGGGTTGCAACATTGGATGCATTTAGAGGTCTCACTATAGTGGTACGCGATTTAACTTATATATACTGATATGATAAAATTATCAGTTTATTTTAACATGTTATAGCACGTAACTATATCCTTTGTTTTTTTTTAGGTTACTTAGTTTTATCTTTTTGTGAATTGTATTACATATCTTTATTTTGAGTTTAACTTATATACCCCTATAATTTATAATCTTATAATGAATCACATAAAAATGGATTAGAAACCTCTAATAAAATGCTTGTTTGTTACTTAGTAGACGTGGACTCGAATTATTTATTTTCTGTCTGTTTTATCTTCATTGTTATTTTTTTGGTCTGACCTGAATACAAGAGATAACATAAAGTTTAATATGTTACACTCATTTGTCATTTTGGTGAATTGATAGTGTGATTCATTTTATTCATATTATCAGTATGCAAAAGTTAAACTCGATGAAATCTAGTATATCGTAGTTTTTCTCCATGTTGTTCTTTAACTTGCTAATACCACTACTTATTATTTATTTTATTTCTTTATTGCTTCGTAACATTAACTTTTCTTGCGATTTTTTTATTTTTTTTCTATATTGCTTCGTAACACTAACTTCCCTTGCGATTTATTTTTATTTTTTTCTTCTTATAGTTAATGATATTAGTTGATGATGCTGGAGGAGCATATGCATGTATTGATCATTCACCATGGAATGGTTGCACATTGGCTGATTTTGTAATGCCATTTTTTCTCTTCATTGTTGGTGTTGCAATTGCTCTTGCCTTAAAGGTACACATATAATTAAAATATATAATAGTTTCCATGATATAATTTTAAATTCTACGAGTGAAATTTTAAGAAAATAATAATTTTTTGAAGATATATCCGAAAAGTGATCAATTGATATTATTTCTTCAAAAATATATAATGACACATTATACTTCAGGAAATTACACCTGATACACGTAAAGTAGATGATCTTGAACTTTTGACTATGTTTTTCTAATGGTCAAATTTTCAATGTCTAAACTCAAAAGTACTAAAAAAACGGTTTTGCTCATAGCAACTGATGTCAAAAGTTCAAGATCACCTACTTTCAAAGTCATTCTTATAAATAGCTCGTTATTCGAAAGTAAAATAAAACTTTTAAATATTGGAATTATTTTAATGGAGTTATTTCTGAATTTTCAGAGAGTTCCAAAGGTTAGTGCTGCAATTAAAAAAGTAACACTAAGGACATTGAAGCTTCTCTTTTGGGGAATTATTCTACAAGGTATAAACTATAAATTTTGCAAACTTTTGTTGATCAAATAATTTCATAGACTAAAGTTTTTTAAAAAAAAAATTGTGAAATTTTACATGTATACAAGGAAAGAGTTTAACTTTTGATACATTGATAGTGTAAACATGTTCATAAAAATAAAACAGATTACCTGTTGTAACATAATTACGAATAGTGTAAAATTCTTTAAATATCAGTCCTCGGTGTATATAAGTTAAGTCCGAATTGGAATTATATATATATATTTTTTGATAAATAAAATTTGTGTATGCATAAATATAGGAGGATACTCACATGCACCATATGATTTAGCTTATGGAGTGGACATGAAAGTAATAAGATGGTGTGGTATTCTACAGGTGATCTCAACCTCTTTCATTCTTTACTTTGCGTCTATGCGTTGCTCGGACTCTTCAAAAATATGCTCAAGTGTGTGTAAATTCCTCCGACATAGATATAACAATATTTCGAAGGATTCGAGTGACATAGTTTAGCGTTATTTTTCAATTGGTATTCAATATGGTGAACTCCCGTGATCGATGAGGTGTCTAAATAAAAAATGATGCTAAATTGAAGGGGTTGTAGATAAATTTGGCTATAGCCCCCTACTCAACGCTATCTTTTAATTAAGTGTTTAATATGTCAGAACCCATGATGACGCGTCTAAATGAAAAATGGTGTCAATTCGTCCTTTAAACTAGGCCAAATGCATCAACAACCCCTTTTTCAATGTTATTTTTCACTCAGTATGTCAGATCCCACGATGATGTGTCTAAATGAAAAAGGGTGTCAATTCGGGGAACCGGTCGTTGATGTGTTTGTCCTTTGAGCTAGGCCAAATACATCGATCGACTAGCCCCTAACTCGACACTATTTTTTCAATAGGTGTTGAATATATCAAACTCTCACGATTAAGTGTCTGAATGAAAAATGATGTCAAATTTAGGGGGTCAACCGTTGATCTATTTGGCCTTTGAGCTAAGCCAAATACATCGACAACCCCCTATTCAGTACTTTTTTACATTAGGTATTCAGTATGTCAAATCCCACGATAAGATATCTAAATGAAAAACGGTGTCAAATTTAGGGAGCTATTATATTGAAATGAATTTATTTTTTTAATCTAATACAATTTTTTATTTTTATTTTTATTTTTACAGAGAATAGCCTTGGTGTATTTGATAGTGGCTTTAATAGAGATCTTAACTACCAAGCTAAGGCCAACAACTTTAACCCCTGGCCATTTCTCAATTTTCACTGCCTATAAATGGCAATGGTAAGCAAACACAATTTCATCATGTTAATTGATAATTAATCATCGCGTCGTCCTGTATATTTCGTATAAATTTGAGACTTATAGCTTGATTCTTTACTCATTTCGTGTTCAATGGTTCAAGAAAATGTGAAATTCTTTCATGTCATAGAACTTGTTTAATTGTTTGATAATACGATCATCTAAAAGCTTAATTTGTTACAGAGAGTAACGTATTTGTTTACCTTCAACACACTCCTTACGTGTTGGCCTGGTTATTTTTCATGGTTCAAACACGTGACTTTTAGATCTTTCTATCGTTGTTTGTAGGCTTGGAGGATTCGTTGCATTCGTTGTTTACACGACAACAATATATGGTCTTTATGTTCCTGACTGGAACTTCCTGGTGCACGACGGAGATACATCACAAAGATACACGGTATACATCATTAGAATAGTATACTTAGATACGTATTCAGGATTTGAACTTTATCTGAACCCATAGCGACGTGAAAATTTTCAGGTAAAATGTGGTATGAGGGGGCATTTAGGACCTGCCTGCAATGCAGTAGGTTACGTTGATCGACAAGTTTGGGGTATCAATCATCTGTATAATCAACCTGTTTGGGCACGTTCCAAGGTATCGCAACATAATCAAAGCTAATTACGTTGATTATTATACTAAGAATCTTAATTTGAAATCACTAAACTATATATTTAGGTATGTACATTGAGTTATCCAGAAACAGGTCCATTTCGAGATGATGCTCCTAGTTGGTGTCGTGCTCCATTTGAACCCGAAGGCTTGCTGAGGTTCGTGTGTGTGTGTATATATATATATCGTGTTTGTATTCTATTCATCGAAAATGAAAAAGATAATGTTTACAAAATTTTAAGCTAAGAACATTTGTTCTGTTTCCTCTGTTTAGTTCAATTTCAGCTATCATGTCTGGAACAATTGGCATACATTATGGACATGTTTTGATTCATTTTAAGGTACTTTCAACGATTTAACGTTTATACACTGACAACGTAGAAGAAATTTTACACTATCACGCGCTACATTTGGTTAAAGTGCACTTGTAAATATAAAATTTTGATATACTGTCAGTGTATATAAGTTAAATACAATGGACCAATTTTTTTTAGGGTCATGGTGAGAGGCTAAAACAATGGATCTCAATGGGGTTAGGTTTACTTATTACAGCCTTTATTCTACATTTTTCAGACGGTAAATTTATCGTTCCTATCTATTTCACCATAATCGATGAAATTAAAAATTTATATTATTTTTAGATATTTAATCTGATTTTTTTTTCATGCAGCAATTCCTCTAAACAAACAATTATATAGTTTTAGCTATGTTTGTTTCACTGCTGGTAATGCTGGAATTGTATTTTCTGGATTGTATATACTGGTATACAAATTGCTACAACTTTAAAATTACTCGGACTCTACAAAAATGTTGACAGGTGCATGTCAGATCCTCTAAAAATACTATTTATTTTTTGAGGATCTGACGTGGATGAGACATCGTTTTAGGGTTAGTCCGAGCAACATAGATTAAAAGTAAGATATCGATTTCATAATCTAATTTGTTTGTTTTTTTTTGGTGATTGAATATATAGATTGATGTTTTGGCAATGAGAATCCCATTTTTGTGGTTGGAATGGATTGGAATGAATGCAATGTTGATATTTGTAATGGGAGCACAAGGTATCTTTGCTGGATTTATAAATGGATGGTATTTCAAAAATGAAGACAATAACCTTGTAAGTACCCATCATATATACATTTTCGCGTTTACATGTAAGTGATGGGGTGTCAGCTTATTATCATTAACTCAACGTATCGAGTCGTAGATGTTTTGAGACTTTACGTCTTGTACTATTTTGTGTGTGTGGATTGTTGAATACGAAGTCACAAAGCTAACATCAAAAGTTTTGTTTAACCGGTGGCGTAAGCAGAATTATGTGTAAGTGGGTCAGTTTATTATCATTAACTCAACGTCTCGAGTTCCGGTCTTTACTTTTGTCTTATTTTGTGTGTATGGGTTCTTTGAACTACAAGTCACAAAACTAGGTGTCTAACAAGTGGCGTAAGCAGAATTATTGTGCAAATGGTATCAGTTTATTATCATTAACTCAACGTCTCGACAGATTGTAGACTTTTCTTTTTGTCGTATTGACTATGTCAGTCAGGTTCAATTGAGCAAATATTAATGATTTTATTACATATTTAGAAAACTATATATTAGTAATCATTTTTCATTTTTTTGGTCTTTTTTTTAGGTAAATTGGATTCAACATCATGTATTCTTTGATGTGTGGAAATCACAAAGATTGGGAACTTTATTATATGTAATATTTGCTGAAATTACATTTTGGGCAGTTCTTGCTGGGATTTTGCATAGACTTGGTATCTATTGGAAACTATAAAAAAAAATAAAATCACACAATAAGAAAGGGAAACGAAATTTGTCGCGGACGGAGGCTTGATTTTCATCTGATAGGTTCATCATTTACTATATATACATCGGAAAAAAAAAAGTTGACTTATATATATACTGTGTGATTATTTATCGAAGGAGTCTGGATGAACCCTGTTACGCCCGTATTGTAAAGTGTAATCAAAATCATTCAACCACTTCTTTCTAATTCTACTCCTTATAGCCATTTTATTTAATTTGTCTCAACTTTAGTTGTTTCTTCTAGTCTCAACACAACTATATCCTATACACATTGATATCGTAACGAATTTTTATATTATCGATAATTAAATATATTGTATTTAGATTGAACAGTTCAAAAAAGGGAAATTCGTATTTTGATACACAAAACGTTTCATTGTTCATTATTCTACATATTTTAAATTTGTGACCACAAGATTTAACAATTTTCCTTGCTTTTTTATATTATGTGTCGTGTCAAAATTAGATAAACAAATTGAAACGGAATGAGTACTTTAACATCAAATCATAATTCACATGAAAAATAATATAAATTTTAGGCTGATGTAATTTTATTAATGACTACCTTCATTAATAAAATAATGTAAAAATGTTTCCTAAAGTTGGTTTTGTTTTGGGGCCATTTCCAAAATTGGAGGAAATAAAAGAATATCAACATATCTTAAAAATTATATTTAGAGAATCAATTATAATTAAAATAAATCTGAAAATATTTTCCATACTATAAAGAATATATCTTTTTTAAGTTCATTTAGTATAGATTTTTTATAGTTCACCTTATCTCCGAAACTTAGGTTTGAGAATTTATCGAGTTAATTTTCATGTGAGTATAAGTAGCTTAACTCATTATTTATCTCGTAAGAGCATTGAGAATTGTCTTTTACTTATTTACGAAAAAAATATCTTATCACAACCTTCTTCGATTATCTGACGCCAAAAATAAATTATGCTTTAACAAACTCAAAGTAAATAGTTACTAAAAGTAACTTACAGCAATATTCCTCATCAATACTATCCATGATTCATAGTATTACATGTACCTCGAGTGATTTTACGGGATATCAAATAACTTTGTCAACCAACACTCGAAGAGATCAGGAAAAAATCGAAACGATTCTTCTTAATAAACCCCTCTTCATTTGCCATGACTTAAAAAACTAAAACAACAAACTCAAATATAATCCCACAAATGGTCTCTAGAAAGAATAAGATGTACGCTGACTTAACCCTATCTTTAGAAAGTAGAGAGGTGATTCTCAATCAACCATCAACAACGACCCTCCTCCTTTATCTGGACCAACAACGACCCTCCTCCTTTATCCAGAACAACGACGACCCTCCTCCTTTGTCCGGACCAACAACAACCCTCCTCCTTTATCCAGACTTAAAAGATCGACAATGTGAGCGATCTCATGCGATAACTTAACACTAGTAAACCTAAAAAAACTTATAAATGAACAGCATATAACTTGGTGCTAATACTCAACCAAAAGGTTATGGTACTAAATAATCTATACATACAACTTCTACAAACACTAAAACTTTATAAAAAAAAAGGTCTTTTTAACTTGTTACATTTCTCACATGATTCTACAAGATTAGCCTTGCAAAATCTTGCATTGAAACTTGACAGACACAATTTTTTTTTTACCTCTACATTAATACACTTATATACACTGTATATACACTGAGTCAAATGAGGCCTTTTAGCAATGAACACAGGAACTGTACATTCACTAGTTGTTTACTCCCAACCCATCAACATATTCCAAACAGCTTCCACAATCTTGTTCCTCGAGGGACCCGAGCCATTCCCTTCGTCTAGTAAGACACGGTAAATTTCCCATTCTCGATCACCAATCTGATATCTCCCTACTTCAGCCTGAAAAAAGGCGATAAGCAACATGTCAAGACTAGTGCATTTAAAATCCACGACATGTGAGATGCATAGCATTGAGACAAGCAGCGTCGTTTCCTCTTTTTCTAATTTCCATTCCAACTAAGTTTCCTATCTAGGTGGCCAAATGAAGTTACATATGTAGACGCTCGGTTACAGTATGAAAGGTTCGAGATATTGTTATTATCAACAATATCCTTCGTCCAAGCTATGTTGCTCAGACTCTTGAAATTTTGGAGGTACCACGGGTTTCGGACTTTGCTGCTGAGGAAACTTGGTCTTTCAGAGGAAAAGGGTAGAGGGGCGGGCTATTAGCTAGTGTACCACTGACCCTCTTATCGGTTGTATTAAAAAAGTAAAAAGTATGTCGTTCAATCAACGTCATGACATTTTTCCTTTGGCAAACCAGCTTTTAGCGTAGCCTAGCACACGATTATCTCTAAGGCAGAGGATAGAAATAAACCATAAGAGTGATAAATGATGACTTACCGAAAAGATGCCAATATTAAGCATCTTGAGCGCCAGTGTAATGTCATAAAAGACAATCGGTCGACCCTTGCCGGATAACTCTACAGGGTTTGCAACCAGTAATTCTGCATCAGGACCTCGGTTCATCAATGACACTCTAAGAGGGCGACATAGTTCCATTTGAAGACGTGAGCACAAACCATTCAACTTGCTATGGTCCACTATTTTCTTGCCATCTGCTTGCATTATGAACAAGTCAAGCTCACATTCTGTTTTAGTTTTTGCAGCAAATCGCCCATATGATATCTGATACAACATCGAAGTAATTGGTGAGAAATAGTTTTACTTTAGTTCATTAGCACTGTCACAAAAAGAGTCTTCCTATATTTAATAAGTTCTCCAATTCCAACATTCTATGTGGCAAGTTTAAGACCACGAGATTTAAAGTACTGCACACATCTTTAATCGACCACGAGATTCAAAACTTTCCCTTTAAAAGCTTGAACTCCGAGTCGAGTCAAACTAAGACGGTTGAATCGGGACAAAGGGAGTATATGTTAATCAGAAGTCCAAATTTTAACTAAGAAGTTATATTTTTCGAACAGGATATTGGTATTCATAATGTATATGGTTATTGAGAGATTGTATTCGCCTTGTGCAGATTATCGCAAGACTTCATCAAAAGATATTTTAGAGATATAGAACTATGTACCTGAATATTGTAGTCTTTCAGTGTCCTCATTATGTCATACAGAAGACCTTTGTGATCTTGGCAAGCAATCTTGATGAGAGTATGACCAGGGCTCATCAAATTATCGACGGTGATAATCGCTTTATTGCAGGCAAGAGATGTACTCAGTTGCTCATGAAGTATTTCGAAGCTAAACATGTCCTCGGCAATTTCTTGAGGAAGGAACGATGGTCCTTGAGAGCATTCGGTGATTTCAGACCCGACCATTTCTATGTCACAACTTATCATGGCATCGCCCAGAACAGATTTCAACTGGTAATGTGTGTCTTCTTGTCTCTTCTTTGTATGTAGAAGTTCTCTGATAAAACATTTGAATTACGACTCTTTATCACACAAATGATAAAAGTAAAATAAGGTATAGTTTTGTAACCGAAATTTGGCTTAAGCATTTCGGCACAAGGTTCACTTGATAAGATGGTGTGACCAGGCGGAAAAAAAAGACTCGGGAAATTTTCTGAATTCCCTTTAACTTAAAATTAGCTATTAAGTTAATCAAGTTGGTACCTTGTGTCAGTGATGAAGAACAGGTCCATCACTTTTCCATCTGGAGTAGTGGATACTTTCACCTTCTTTATTGTAAGCTCAAGCTCGGAAAGTACTGCCGTCACATCTACCATAATTTAACAAAAAGCAAAATTACTACAGTTATGAATAAGTCTAAATCAATCGAAAAACACATACACAAGATTTAGATTAAAAAGAAAAAAGGTACTGCGCAGAAAGTTTAGAAAACAAGCTTCAAATTAGTTACCATGCAAAAGGCCCCTCCGATCGTTGCAACAGAATGTCAAGAGGAATACTTCAGGAGGCCTAGGAGACAACTCAGCACGATAATATGATATGCCGGAGGCAGAAGAACAAGACGGACAGGCTCCCATAAGTCTCTTCTTTAACAGATTCCATCTTGTGTCTGGTCTTCCCACCACCCAAAACACTATGTAGCACCATATTCCGTCAGTCGATACATCTTCAGCAAAAGAATCAAAGTGTAAGATGGGAAACTACAAAAATCTCCCGCATACAGTTGTATTATCAACCAAACTATCTGAAATCTGAATTATCTTCAAACACATACTATAGAGTACTCCGGTCTTGTTGAAACAGATTCAAAATTGACATTCGAAAAATACAAGGTCCACAAACACACAAAAGCTGAACTTCATTCCACTAAAAAATATTACAAAAAGAAGAAAAGAAACACGCATATCGCAAATGAAACCAGTAAATTCAGTTCTCCTTTGCAACAAAGAATCCTTAAGCGTTCCATTCACAAATTCAAGTAAGATGTTGCTCCGTTCTAAAAATAAAAAGTATTTCCACTAATCCTTTCTCAAAACTCTCAACCAAATTCGGATGTTCAACAGTAGTAATGGATTATATAAAGTTAGATTCAATCTTTTCACTCTCTGCCTCACCCACCACACACATACACACCACACACACAAACAAAAAAATGAAAGCTAAATTTCTTCAATTGGATGTATATTGAAGAGCAAGAATACAAGGCTAAAAAACTGAAACACAAATTTCCAAAAGTAACCAGTATGCAACAAAGAATCCCAGATTGAAGAAATCATAAGCGTTCCATTAATCCTCAAAACCAGCAGAGTCTCAACCAAATTTCAGAAACTCAACAGTGACTAATTATATCAACAAAGAATCAATCTTTTCACTCTGCCACGCATACACAAAAATAAACTGATTTTATCAAAGAAAGATTCAAACTTTCACTCTTTGACACACACACAAACACAAAAATAAACTGATTATATCAAGAAAGATTCAAAATCCTTCACTCTGATACACATACACAAAAGAAAATGATTATTACATCAAAAAAGATTAAATCTTTCACTTTCTGCCACACACACACAAAAATAGAGACACAACTGATTATAT